TATGTGGTGTCTGTGTATTAACATTACAAACGGAACAAATGATTGCAAACCTTTTTGATCCCATTTTCGGAATTATTTCTGCGGTTCTCTTTTGCATCACTTTATACCCCGAAAGTGAGAATTGCTTTTCATTCAAAACTTATAACATAAATGTTAAGACAAATAACTAAAATTGAAAATTATTTTGTAGTAAAAGATACGGGACTTATATTATTACAAACGGTTCCCGAAAACATAAATGTCGGGCGACTCAAGAAGAATATTCTCAAAGAAGTAATTGATTATAATTTTGTGTTATAATGACTGTTATATAATTGAATTTTGTTCACTAATATAGTTCCCAATAATCCTAAACATTCACGATCTGCACATCTGGTGTCTGAACGCCTCCAGAATCGTCGCCTCCTGTCATATAATATTACCGAAACAGTCGACCAAATCTTTCGCTCAATTCTCGCAACTATTGGACACATATTTCCGAAAACAAGGCATTGTTTTGGCGACAGTTCAGCCAGAATTCTATGACCCAAACACTTCTTCTGCCAATCAATTGATTCCCATCTCATGTCTAATGAAATGCTCAAAGTTATCAAACACTAATTGCGATTCATTCACGTGTTGTTCACAAGAAAACAACGATTGTCTCGATTGCGACGATTGTATTGATTTGAATTCAACCCATTCTTCAGATAATTGCCAACAAATTATTGTTACAAATATTTCGTAAACAATTTAAACTCATTAAATGAATATCTCATATGTTTTGCTTTAGTATTCAATGAATGCATTTTAATGTTAATTAACTCATTATATAGAAAATTAATTAATTTTTATAAATTTTTTACAATTATTTTATTCTGTATTTAAAATAAAAATACTTTAATAACTGTTCAAATGATTTCATTGAAAGTGCAATCAATTAATGTCCAAACAATTGATGTATAAAAGTATTCTTCTGGAAGTTTTAGATAGTCTTATGGATTGATTAGTAATCAGTGGTAGTGGTATTGTACATTAAATCAAATTGACCATGGTAGTTTTTACAATCATTTTAACATTTATTTTGACAATCATATTATTTTTGTACGTATTTTATGTGCAAAACATAATATAAACACAAAAACGTGTTTTTTATTTGAAATATATTTTTGATTGATTTGTAAATGTTTTATAAATTGTTTAATAAATTGAATTTATTTTACAATTAATTTTATTTTGAAAACTAGTTTTACATTAATTAAGAAAAGATGAAACAAATGCCGAAAACCAACAAAACTTTCATAAGAAATGCAATCATTAATCAAAAGAAAGTAATGTTTTTGTGAATTGTTTTATAAAATTGAAGAAAACATTAATTTTATGCCAAATATATAG